TCTTCCTCTCTTCATTGGGCGAGTTCAGATGCAAGCTCTAGAATGGTTATCCTGACTGAGTTTTTAACACACACACACTCTACGAATATTCTGGGGGTCACATCTTAAAGTGGGTGATCATTTTCTTTCTCTCTTCTCACAAATCATCTGTTGCTATCTCTCCTTTGACACTGCATGGTCTCTTCTCAGATATAGCATTATAAATAACTTGGCAATCAGTGATGCAGTAAGTTTGTAAATTTTGATCTCCTGAAAGAAATACCTACACTCTTCCATGTTTAGTTTATTCAAAATTGATATTTAAATTAGGAAGTCAGCTGCATTTGCTGTTTAGACCAAAATTATTACACACTGCCTGATGTAAAACCACAGTCCGTAACTACCAATAGTGCATTACAACGTGAATGAGTGTATGGTAAATATTTAACATTATATGCACACCATGATGTAGGAACCATTTGATAAAGTTTCCAAGGTGACAGATCACATGACATTTTATAAATTCCTTTGCATATTTGTATTTCCATTTTAATAAACCTTATGAAATGCATCACGAAACATGAAAGTGATCGTTATTCTCATACAGTGCTCGAAGTATAATTTCACTTTTGGACTGAGAAGGTATTTACCAGTTGATAAACATTTCTGTAACATAGATAGAATCAAAGTTGGAGGTTGTTAATAATGCAGGTGGATTTTCATCTGATAACTGCCAACAAAATATTCTGGTTTTGGCCTGTGATATTATGGTACTGTGATTCAGTGTTACAAGCTTGAAAACTTGTGGTTTTGCTCAAAATATAACTTATGTTACCACACTAACTCTTGTGAAAGTTACACATTTGTTACAAAGTTTCAGTCTGAAAATATAAATTTAATTGTGGCCTGTATATACATGGTTGAAGTTGACATGGTTAAGCCACATTTTCTCATGCTTGGCTATTGGATGACCAAAGTTATGCCCATCAAGTTGTAGGACTTATGAGGTTTAATGGGCAATATTGTAACACTAGAGTCTAACATTGAATTTCACTTTAAAAGCATGGCACTTAAGCAGTGCAGGGCTTGAAGTGGAAGTTCATTGCAAACTGAAGATTTTCACATGAAACATATTAATATGATTTTTTGCTGGGAACACAGGTCTATTGCACATTCTCCCTTTCATTAACTGCTTAGAAATGTTGAAATTATTTCATCTGAACATGTGATTTTTAAAAAAATTGCATAATGGATGAAAACATTCTTGTATTGTTTTCTTATTCTAGACATAGGATTTGTTTATGTCTTTGGATATTGATTTAAATCTGATACCTGGAATCAGTTTTGTGTGATTTAAGAGGTTTAAACTAAAGCTTTATGGGAAACATTAAGATTATAATTTTGGGGCTCAAAATTAGAAGGTGAATGAAAAGTCTCTGTGCATCTTTAAGAATACTTGTTGGAAGTGGTCCTTATTTTCAGAAACTTCAAAATTCATTACTTTTGTGTTTCTCAAATAACCAATTCATTTCTTGTTGAAGATTTCTGTCTTCTGGGTTGTTGCGCTGTGTAGTCTGGTCGATGATAACCAACGTTTCAGAGGTCATACTGCCTCCGTCATCAGGGCGATGAACAACCCAGAAGACAGAAATCTTCATACTCACTGCTATGAAAACTTCAAATCTTACATCATTTCTTGTCGTCAATAGGAAAGGTCTGCTGGAGTTATTTAATTAATTATATTTATCTCATAGATCCTCTTCTGTGATAACTGTTGAGTTGAATGGTCTGAGAACAGTTAGAACCTGATTAGAGGTTGACGACAGTTTGGAAACCATAAGTACAATATAAGAAAGTGCAGAGACTTGTTATTCATGCAGTGGCTTTTCAACATATTTACTGAAGTAATGTGTTGGTATGTATCGTTAGGACCTCAAACAGCAAGTAGGTACTACTGGGCCATGTGTGTGTGTAGCTTTCATTATGACAGAGTATGAAATATTTGAAGTTATGTTTATCTGGGTGACATTTTAATTTTATATTATGTAGTTGATGGTGTAAAATGTAATAGGAAACATATTAAGGAAATCAAATTGAGGTATGATTTCCCATCACTTCTGTAGTGGTTCTTTATATATTTATATTGAGCCAGTCAGAAAACATCCTTAACATTATTCAGGCATAATGCTTTTACTAGAATCTTGAATCTTTGCCAGCCTTAACAGTGATTCTTTGGTTTGCGTAATTGACATTCTGGAACTTCCATTATAAAGAGTGTATTACCAATGAACTGATGCATAAGACTGACTTTAAAATGCAAAATAAGTAAACTCTTTGTTCTTCCATTTAGACAGTCTGCCACTTCGATTTTAATTAGTAGTTAATTATTATTGTGTGATGCATTTAAAACATCTTAAAATTTTGCACTTATCATGAAAATAAATTATTCCATTAAGAGAGTTAGATGTCTTTAAACTGAACAAATGACACAGTACTTGTAGTTGAAAATTTTGCAAGCATGGGAAATGTGATCTTGGCTAAGTTTTTAAAATAATTTATTTAAATTGATTCCTCTCAGGACAATATGGTTTTAAAATATGACACCAGAGTTTTATCTGCTTTAAAAGAGCATCATGTTGCTTAAAATACAAGCTGGTAGCTCAGAGGCATCTTCTGATAAAACAGAACAAGGCAAATGCAAAGAAAAATGTTATTGGAGTCATGTATGTTCCTGGGAAGATCTGCACACTGAGTTTCATCTGTATCCTCTCAGAATATTGGAACTCTGTTATCTACAAGCAAATTCTGCATAATATATTACTTTTTTCGTAACACCGACTAAATAGCTGGTATTTCATATTAGCTTGTATCTTCAGAAGTGAATGTTCAATAATTTATGTGCCTTAAAAAGCCTTTGGATAGGAAAAATGCATCTAATATGAAAGCAAGCAGTTACAGCACTTGTATTCTGCGGTCTTACAGGTGTTAATTTATATTTATGTACATAGGTAGGAAATGAAAATGTTTTGCAGAAGGTGAAGTAAGTTCTTCTTTCCAAAAAAGGCCTCCAGTTTGATCCCAAAAGTTAACCTTAATGTTAAAAAAAGCATGCAGGGACATGGATGTAAGTGGTCAGTTTCATAGCATTGGCTGCTGTACCACCGTAAGTTCCCAACACACCCATCCGAAAGGGAAACCCAGGCCATGGGCTGACAAAATGTGTTCCCTAATAATGATCACAGGTGAGCTCAGTTTTATGTTGACACTCATGGTGCATGCGGGAGAATCATACTAGCCATACAAATTTTGAATTTGCAGTCACAGGCATTGCTTCGAGTTCTTATTGTACTGTTGGTTAACAGTTGGAGCAGTAGGGGCCAGTATTACCATGTTCATTGTGTTGTAAGATACAAATAATGGAATTATTGATTACAGCAGGGAACAGCATCCATCTGGTTGAATAATTGATCCAAAAATCACATGTGAACATTTTTGTTCTTGGTAATTACAACATACATAGTATTATTCTGTTTGTTCATATTTCTAATATGTGCCAGGATATTTCAGTAAGAACTGTCCTGGTTGTAGGGTTTTGCAGCTATTAATTTTTGTTGCAGGTTAGTTCAAAAAAGCAGAACCTTATTTATTGGGATCCATTTTTACCATAAATAAACATGGCAATATGTTATAGTCATTTTCTGATATGACACATTGCTTGTACTTTGTATTCAAATATTAAAATATTAAAAATAAATTTTGTGTAACCTATGGCCCCATAAATCATGTTTAGTTTTAATTCGGGCTCATCATATGTAATGGCCAGTGTGGAGGGGAAATTCACTGTCATTTCCTTCCTCAATATTTAATGAACCTATCATATGTAAAGTACACGCATCCAAATTCATCCCCCCCCAAACATTTCATGTTTGGCATGTGAATAGTTTTTGTTCCATATCGTGTATACTGTCAGTGTCACAAAAATGACAGTTTGAAATGTGGAATTTGAATTGCATGGATAACTGTCCCGTGTAGCAACGATTCTTCACATCATGCTTCATATGCGATGTGTGCATGGATAACTGTCCCGTGTAGCAACAATTCTTCACATGCGATGTATATGAAGTTTCCATGCACTCGTGATCTTATTACTTATTTTCAGCGATCATATTTATATGAATATGATGACAGTCCATTGATGTTGGAGATTGTAGTCATGATGATACTGACCCAAATAATTTTTTTTTTTGTTCAATCATTCATATCTGCATTTTTTTGTATTATGTTTGTACTATTCATGCATTTTTGTGAACAGCCAGTTACCGTGTTTCATCATATGTCTATAATTAAACTTGATGTGATGCTAAAAAACTGCATAATTGGCCTCTGTTTTTTTATTTTTCAGTTTAACAGTTCAGTAAATAATTCTGAATAGAGATGATACTTCTTCCATACCAGTCTCTCGCATAATGCACAGAAGAATGTCTAATGACAGTTTTCCATTAAAGGAATTGGTACTGAGTTTGCTGGAATTAGTACAAGGAGTAGTGAACTACAGCTGTAATGATATTGGAGACAAAAGTTATTAATTCCTGACGAGAGAAATACATCAGAACATGTTTTGAGGGATGTACATTTTAAATGTTATACTATTATGTATCATTTTGTGAATAATCTACAGTTTAATTGATGTTATCAGATTGATATCCATTACATTCTCAGACTTGTGTACATTTTGTGGTGTAAACAATGAAATCTGGTCATTAATAGAATATTGACCTTAACAGCTTGGAGTGTACATTTTTGTTAGTAAAATTTTGTCATGTATAAATTGTACGTATAGTTCAAGTGTTTTGTTTATTTTTAAATATATTAATCTAAAGTTACAATATATTTTGTTGTATATTTGGCTGGTCTGATCAATCCTTTTCCTGGTCTGGGTAAGCAGGTGACAAGAATGGCGTAACTAAGAACTCCTGTATAAATTAAATATTTGTTATATATTGTTTATATTCCTCTGTTTTAAGCTCTGAAAGTTTATTTATGTCAAATGGTAGGTACAAGAAAGATCACTTCCCATTTCCTATCCTGTAGTAAAGCCGCAATATATGTTGGAGTATTTGGTTCACATTACTAATTTACAGAAAGCTAGCAAAGTGTATTGTCTTTTCGGTTTGTGGTGTATGGTTCAAATGTGGATTGTCAGGCTCTTCTTCATAGTTTGTCAGACAAATGCCTGGACAGTTCTTTAAAATATTGTAAGATGGACATATTTTTCCATTCAACAGTGTAATAGTCGTGCTGATGCAGTCAGTAACTGAACTAAAACTACTGACATGAGAATACATGATTAACTAGATTAAAAAATAGATTCTTGACATTTGTTTCCAAGCCATAAGGTAGATATAACAACATTTATGAGGTCAGAATAAAATAACTACTACATAATTTAAAACTCAGAAAATAAGCAGCATTGAACAATGGTAAGAAGTGATATTGGTGATGAAATGAAGATAAATTTTGGAAATGCTTGTTTTGTTCCCAAAATTATTGTCTCATCTTCTAAAAGCTTCAAAATTTAAGCCAAAATTAAATTACTTGTTGCTTTGTTTGGTCATGAAACAATTACTTCTCTGAATGAAAGGGATGGAGTGTGTGGTTTAGAAAATTAAATAAAAATATTTAAACCTAAAATAAAGTGAAATGCTGGAAACTGCATTAAAAACTGAATGATTTATAAACTCCACAAATCATGCAAGTTACTGTTGACTATAAAATGAAGACAGTTTTCATAGCAATAAATGGCTGTTGATATGCATTGTTTGAATCAGGAAGTTAGCAGTTCTCATGAGAACTCCAAGGGAAAATTTGGTTATAGGCCTTCCCTTTATTTATCAGAGGATGATGTTTATAGTAAATTTTCTGCTGAAGTAATTCTGTGCCTAAAGGAAAGCTGTTGTTTGTTAATCTTTGTATTTTGAGCTACTGAAATATATTTGCCTCTGGTTATTCCCTTATCACTGTAAAAGGGGAGACGTATGTATGAGCTACAAGTATTCTGTCCATTTCGCGTAGTAAGTTTGTAATGCCTGCTTCGTGCGTCTAAAGATAGAACTGGCTGGCAGAGAGACGGCAGGCCAGCTGCTCCAGTCTTCGGTAGGGCCGAGTGAGATGGTTGGCGTTTTGATATTATGTGCTTTTCAAATTAACCAGGCTGAGAAATGTGTCAGCGGTTTATGGAGTCTTTCTTAAGTTTTAGGTACTGGAATTTGTTTTAGATCAGTGAAACGTGTGGACCGACACGAAGGTAAACTTAACCTTCATTAGTCCGAATTCTTTTTAACTTCTGTTTCCCTGCAAGGATTTCCTGCTAACATATATACAAGGTTTGTTTTGAGTCTGTGACATCATATAATAATCATCACGGGAAGTGCAATCTATGGGAGAAGAAATAAGGATTTCAAGAAGCTAGTGTGTGTACCAATTTGTTTTTCATCATATAGTTTCTGTTTTCTTCAGACCGGAAAATAATTCTTAAGCAGTATCAGTAGTGTACTAAGTAACTGTACATGGTTGCATTTTATTGTAATCACTCTCTCGCTGATAATGGTAAAGGTGAACGATATTCGAAACTGCTTCGAATGATGACAGAATAGAACTTATTTACATTTCATACATCCTTAGCCCAAGCCAAGGCTGTTGTACATGTCATAGCACAAATACTTGTTTCTCATACAAATATAAACTGCATAGTTGTGACATAGGCAAATTTAACATAAACTCTCCGAATACAGTTCCAACGTCATTAAATGCAAATAGACCATTCCCCCATAGAAAGTGTGGACACACATATCCATGCATGCATCCTTAGATTACATCAGCCGTCGTATTAATATTCAACATGGTGTCAGATGGAGGATATACGAGTGAAGGCAATAAGTGATGGTGACGCTGTCTAGCACGGTAAGAAACTCCTACATTGTACGGTACATCGAACCAAATTCTGCACTCCTTTTAGGAAACAGCCGTGTAGGCGGGTAGTTTACTTCAAGATGAGCAAATCCGATAGGTATCGTTCAGAGGATTTACTGGCGAACTAATTTTTTTCCCGAATTCTGTCCTCCCTGGCAATCATGTTAGGTGTGGTTTGCGCTGTTTAGTATGCTGGCCGCTGTTGAGTCGAATTTAAACCCACTAAACTACCACTTCGCATGTAATCTTCGTTCTCTTAAGCAATTTCTTTCTTGGTGAGTTCCCTACCGATATTTTGCAACCATTTTGTGCTTTTCTGAATACGTAATTAATGTCACTTTTCCATGTAATTCTCATCTCCCCTAGATTCATTGACCCTAACTATACTCTTGAATAGGATGGATAATGAAAGTATTTCTTCACTCCCATAAAGACAAGATTCATCTCTATTTCATCCAAATATTTTCGTTAGTACATTGTTTTTAAACATTTTCATTGTACGTACTGCCAGCAGCGAAACAGCTTAATGTTTAGGTTTTAGAAAGTGGAAGATATAAATACGCCAGCCGAGATGCTGCTGTCCACAATAAGTACGTGCCCGTTTCTACCATTATGTTTAAATTTGGCAATATATGATTGCCACAACAGAGTATACAGCGTCGAAATCTATCTGAATATTAATCTGTATTGAGAACCATGTTTCCTTGGATCATGCAATTTGTAGAACATTGGTAGGTACCACATCAACTGCAAAAACAGAGCAAAGTAGTGAAATAGGGCGAAGATTTTCAACTCACTTTGGCGTGTATTCTTTAAATTAAATTATGACAATGAAATTTACTTCACTTCAATGGAGGAAAAATACGTAAAAATATAATTTACGATTCCAAAAATATTGTCAAAAGATGCGTACGACGTCAATACGAGATATATTGCGTATTCGTTAACACCAAAACAGACGGTGAGTGAAATGATCGTTGCGTATCCGCATATTCTACAGAACAATAGAATAGAATTTGTTTGCAATCCACGAACTTTCACAATTCGTTCCTCTTCAGTAGTTGTGTTACTGTCCACCGTGATGCATTTCGCGTAAATTTATCTATGGAATCACACAAGGCATAGCTACAGGCGATACGTATCGCGTATCACCGAGTGATATCCCTACGCTTCGTATTGTAATGCACGTTATTCCTGTAAGCAACATGTATTACCTTTCGACTTTTGTTATTGCTTGTTCCTTCCTTGTGAACGCTACCTAGGGTTTAAATCAAGGCCTTTTTTTTTTTGTCCAGAGCCCCATTTTCGTGACAGTAACTCACACATACACGATTGGAAGCATAAATTTGTTGACGCACTCTTAAAATATTGGTGTCTGAAGGTCACCTCCATATATTTTCCTTACTGTTTCCTGAAAGCATTACTTAAATATTCATATCGATGTTCGTATTAAAGTGTGTGGCTTATTACGATTTCATGTCAGTGTTATCTGTGGCTTTCAGTAAGGTTTTCCCAAAGATCTTCGTCCATTTGGTTGTGATTACGAATCTGAGGTGGAATTCGTGAGCGGGGTATTCAAAGAACATTTGTTTTTTTTCAGTTAGTCCGTAGTGCTCCATGAAATGTATGACCGGTAGTGTACCTAATTCCTTCATTTGTTTAAATAATTTAAGAACAGTGTGTCTGTATTCACTGACTCTTCATTTTGCCCACAGTGGGTATTCAAGGGTTTCATATGATTCTCAAAGGAAACAGCATTTATTTCCCTAAACAGCTTCAGCCAGTCTGTTTTTATATTGATGATGCATTATATTTTCTTTTAGGTAAAAACTGAATTTCTTTTAATATTATTTAGTGAAGTCTTGAAACATTTTAGAAATCACTATGTTTCAAAAGGTCACAAGCACCAAAGGTGAAGCATGGATGGAGCCAGACATAGTGCCAGTGGGGGAGTGCTAGGAAGTGTCATTAGTTCTCCTCGTTCCATCTCTATGGCCAGCATCAGTTCCGAGGGCAGCATGGAGAGCCCTCTTGTGGAACAAGAAGAAATAGCAGCCCTCACCCACGATGTACGTAATTTCAAGGAGGCGCTTGGAAAACTTCGAAAGATTTTCCATCCTGATTTGACAGACAGGGGTAAGTTTGTTAATAATACCTTCAGTTTTAATTTTATTCCATATTAATTTATACGTATTGTGCTACAATGGCAGTGTTTTGTGGGATTGTCTGTCTTACCAAATCTTCAATAAGACTTTGGGAGGAACATACTGCCTCCATCTTTAGTTCATATATGTTGATGTCTACCTACAAGTTCACGTGGTATTGTGAACCGGAAGACCAACATCAACATCTTCACTGCTATGAGAACCTTCAACCTCACACGAAGGTACTGACTGTGTCTGTGCAACCTTCTACATTTCTTCATACCTTGGGTGTAACCTAACCTATAAAAATCATTTCAGACAAGCCCGACACCATACGAGTAGCCGTTCATGAACGACTTGGAGAGGTGTTGCGGATACTGAGGAGTGTCCTGGACAGATACCCAGCACTCCAGTCAACTGAACTCCTGGTAACTGCAGGGACTCTCATACAGCAAGTGAAAGGTCACACGTTTTGTTCATCATTCTGTTTTCTTGTGTAATACTGTGTCACTCAGTTTTGCTGTTAGATTTGTGTTCTGAATAGTAAGTCAAGAGTGATGTAGAGAAATTAGGTATACTTGTGGGTTATAGGGACACATCGCTTTAAAAATAGGTTAGGTTAGGTTAAGTTAGGTTAGGTTAGTTGTCATTTGTTGAAATAAAATATAATAACTTTCAAGTATATGTAATTTATCCACACACACTAACCTAACCTAACTTAACCTAACCTAACCTAACTTAACCTAACCTAACCTAACTTAACCTAACCTAACCTAACTTAACCTAACCTAACCTATTTTTAAAGTGATGTGTCCCAATAACACACAAGTACCAGAAATTATTCATGACTTATTTGAGGAATTTTACTGTATATTGCGTGCAGGGTTTAAGAACATCACAAATCTATCAGTCAAATTAACTGCTTACAATATTAAGTTGAGATACATTGAATTATTGGAGCTCCTAGAGTAATTCATGTATATATGCATGTAAAATGAGCATGATGTAGTTTTACAACTTTCAGGCATAGTTTGTGTTTAGTTTCTAGAACTAGTTCTATTTTAATGGTTAGAGTATTTAATGGGGGCTTATTTTGCCTTCAGCATTAATGTCATTCAGTGGTCTTCAAGTGAGTGTCAAGTCAAATGAAGAAAACTGCTTACAGGAAAGGAATTGTAATGTGGTTTGTTTTCAGGGTATAACTATGAAGGTAAACAGCTGGATCACAAAGAGATTTTTGAGTCCATCGATCAACTGGCTTTGGCTTTCAGTAGCAGGTAGGCAAATAGATGTTTACGCTTCTCTGTGTGATTAAAGTTTCCAATTTTAAAATGTGAAAAATACAGATATTAATATTTTAAAATAGTGGGCATTTCTGAAGAATATAGTAATATTTTAAGAATAATTGGGGAATTTTATGAAAACAATGGTTAAAAAATTCTTGGCTAACTTAAACAGGGACCGGTAATCTCTATGACTATACACCAACTACAATTTTCGTAACATGAAACTATGAGTAGAAATATGCAAGGAGTATAACCACACAAAGTCAACAAAGGATTATCCAAACACAAAATGTAATATCAGGTGATGTCTATTTGATAAAATATCTTATTTTTCTCTGTCTTATTTGCTGTCTTTCATGTTACAAGGAGTGTGATTACCACAGAAATCTTTGATAAGACTTTCAAAAAATTGATTATCTGTGACAATACTGACCTCCAGAACTTCCTTCTGTGGGAATTTTTCAAATAAAGAGCTTATTTGAGTAACTCACGAAGCTTGGAGGATCTGAAACACAATTTAGAACAGACTTAAGCCAACACACCCTGAAACACTTCAGACAAAACCTACTGAGAAGGGTGGATGCTTGTCTTTTAGAAGATGCTAGAAATTTTCAGCATCTGTCGTAAAGTTCCTAACAAATAAAGACTAAAAAACAACTTGTTTTTCTTGTTATGTTGATATCACCAAAGTTTACAAATATTGCTGCAGTTACGATTATATTTTAAATGAAATATCCCCTGCACTAAAAACAGTTTCAGTTTGAAATTAGATCAAATCTAAAACTTCTTGACGATGGTGAAGAGTCATTTGAATAAAAATCTCCTTGGATATTATTATATTATTACGTTTTATATTTTATATTTTACTAGACGATGGATAATATCCAAGGAAATTTTTATTGAAATTGAAATTAGATGTGAAATATGTAATCAACATCTTACTGCTTATATCCTTATTCTGATGACTGAATAATCAAATGATATTTTAGAGAAAATAGAAGTGCCCTATGCATCAACTGCCTAAGAGGTATAATTATCACATAAAATGTAATACAAGACAATGTTTTCTAGTCTTCCTATTTTATTCTTTTAACAGAGTTTCAGAATATCTTATGGGGGATCTGGACAGCAACATTTCCCTGTGCAGTTCTATGTCCAGCAAGACAAAGGTATGGTGCATCATACTTTGTGCTTGTCATTCTTTATAAATGCTACTGTAGCAGGCAGCGACACTAAAGGATTCTCGCGATCCTAAGATTAAGTCAAGAAGTTCTCCATATTTTATGGAACCCAGAGTTTTATTAGCACTGGTCCCTGTTCTGAAACAGATGAATCCCATCCACACCAAGGTTTTCCAAGTGGTGTCTTCCTTTCAAGCATTTTTTATTTTTCTCATGCATTCTACATGCCCCACCCATCTCTTTCTCCTTATTTTTATCATCCCATTAATGTTTGGTAAAGAATACAAATTATGTAGCTCCTTATTGTGCAATTTATTCCATCTTGTTACATTCTGTCTCTCTCATAGTGAAAAGGCGCAAAAATAACGGATATTTCTATTGGTCTTGTAAGAGGCAGGACAGTGTTTTCAAATTTGTGTGTCATTATCGTTACATCATTCCGTTATTCTAAAACTCTGCAGTATATTTTTTATTGTTTGTGGCTTTCGCTTTTTCTTCATAATAGCAAAGGAAATTTTTTCAGTAATACACATCTTGAGGTAGATTAAAAGGAAATAAACAGGTAACAGAATGGTTTGAAGAAAAAAAATAAAATGATACGTATGCCCTTGGTCACTGCCATAGTAACAGTAGCTCAGTTCTCTCAAAAACTGTGCTTGTGGTTTTACAAATGATTGATTCAGATAAGATTTTCTGTGTTGTGGTACTGTGTAGTCTTGTGGGTAGTTGCCAACTTTTCTGAGGAACATGTTGCTTCCATATACAGAGTGGAGGCAGTATGTTCCTCTAAAACACTGGTAACCATGTATAAGACTTCCGAGTGTCACAACCCAGGAGATCAAAGTTGATATCTTAATTTTCATGACAACCTCAAATCTCAGAGAGTATTAATATTGCATTGTCAGTCTTGTGAGAACCTGGCGTCAGATGCTGAATGCGGAGGAGCAGCAGAAGATAAGAAGCCAGGTGATCTCTCACCTCAAAAACTTGATGAAATGCTCTTGCTGTTGGAGCAAGGAGTGGATTTTGCATTGCAACATGCAAAACTGTGGTCAAAGTATGCTAAAGATGTTATGATGTATGTGGAGAAACGATCTCACGTTGAAATGGAATACACCAAGAATCTAAGCAAACTAGCAATGACTGTCCGGCCACTTATCAATGAAGAGGTAAGTCTAAAGTCATGAAACCAGAATGTCAGATTGGTAAAGGGCATCTATGCTGTTACAGAAAGAAAAAAAAATATCCAAAATTGTATAAAAAGATATTGTTTTATTGTAACCTTGTATTTTTGGTAAGTCATTAAGTTTGTTCTACGTGTGATTTTACCTAGATTTGGCATTAAATGCACCTTATGTAAATGAGTATTTTATCACTTTAAATAGTGGCAAAGTTGGCAAGCAGTCAGACCCAGTTCTTTAGATGGAGTATGTGGGAACAGTACCTAACAAATTAGGAAAGGTGTACACTTTAGAGTACTACCATTCCAAAAATGTTGTTTATGGGTGACGATATTAGCAGGGCAATGAAAGTAATATGAAATACAAGAATGGTATCTAAGGCCATTGATGCAGCAGTGTGGTCCATGGTCACCCTTAAAATAATTCCATGAAAGATGCGGCAGATGGACAGATGTGGATGGACCCATAGGTGTTATTTACTAAAACTAAACTGTAAAGAACACGTATAAAGGAAATAAAGATATGTAATATTTGTAAGAAAACGTAACTTAAGTTTGTGGTCCCAAGACTACGATACTGAGGCTGTGGAAATAAGTCCCATGGATCAGTCCCATCCTCATCTCCCTTCAGCTGTTATGTTCCTATCTCCTGTACTCTCCCCTGTGTTCCCCTCCAGTCATCTAGCCATTCTGTTCACAGAAATCCTGGTTCTTTGGGCTGGCCGCACAGGCCAGAGGGAGTCTGAGGAGAATGCGACAGTTGGCAGGCAAAGACAGGCAAGTCTCGAGCGTCATCACTCCCGCCATCCATGGAACTTCTTTCTGTGACCTCAGAACTAGTATTATCTGTTAAAATACTGATTACGCATATAAAACCTTGAATATAATGCGAGGAACTTGGATAGTGGCAGGGCTTTGAACTATCACATTTCATTTTGCTTCATGTTTTAGTGTAACTTGCCATTCCAATCTATCTACTGCACTGCACTGGACCATGACATGGAAAACAGCAAATCCAATCAAATCACATGCAGTCTGCTATTAGGGAAGAAGTTTATAGAGGTGAGAATTAAACATTATGTCATACTTGTTAAATGTTTCTGGTGTATCGGTAAATATTATACTCGGTTAACTGCCAGAAAGTCAGTCTTTCAAACCGTTGCACATAACCTGAAAATAACTTGGGTTGATTTTATTTTAAAATTTTAGGTTTATTTGAACTGTAACTGTTGTAATTTCATTCGATATACAGACACTCCTGTCTAGATGTCAATACTATTTGGCTCCAAGCTGCATTAATAGATTGGTTTTCAAAAGAGCAGACTTCTCAGCCAACTCTTATTCATGTATTCATGGATATGGAAATGTCAACAGTTGTAATAGCATGCGTCAAAACATTTTGACAGTTCTGTTTATTATACTGAATTCAGAGCCATGACATTTCTTCTAAATTTGAGGAGGCAGTCTGTTCGTCACACCTCAATATTGTTTTTAAAAGGACAAAACATGAATGACCTCCACTTCCGAATAATTATAACTGATGAGGAATTACATCATACTTCTAGTGAATTGGTTGACAATTTAGTCAGTTTGTACTGAGCAAATAATTCTTTGTTTAGTGACTGTTTTCCTTTTCCATGTCACTCTTCATGAATGACTCTAATTCTGACCTGTGACTGAATGTAGACTTTTGCTGCTCCATGTAGTTTGGCAGAAGATTATCTCCCTGATGATACAGCAAGTAGCTCTGAAATGTATGTAAGCTTCTACGAGACTACACAGTGTAACAACCCAGAAGACAGCCATCTTCATACTTGCTGCTGTGAGAATCTGAAATCTCATCTCCACATCAATATAATTATGATGTACTGATTTTTAATATCATTAATCCCCTAAACTTCTCTTCTTCTTCTATGGCTGTCCGGTCCGTATTCGGTCCATGGCCTCCTCAATTCTCCTCTTCCGTTCGGTCCTCTGTTAGGTCCGTCTGTCCGAGGCTTTGATCGAGATTTCAAAACATCTTCCTTTTTATGGTGTAAGGTTGTTAGCCTTGTGACCAACCCCCAACCTGGAGGACCAGGGGACCTGTCTTAGTCTGACCTCTCCCCCTCGACCAATCTGGCTAGGGAGGCCCTACCAGTAGCTCTTGGGGTCACTGAGGTACTCAAGTCCCACCACCACGACAAGGTGCAGGTACCATTAAGTGGGGCCCCTAAACTAATGTTTCTTATGATTTTAGCCACTGAGTGCAAGACGTGTAGAACATGACAAGATTCGCAAGCAGGTGAAGGATCTATGGTTCAAAGAAGTTGCACATATGCACAAACTGGTTACACAAATGCAGAAAGTACACGGCACTTACATGAAGTGTCAACAGGAATGGGAACAACTTCGTGAAGAATCACAAAAGATTGACCAGTCTACACAGGGGAAGCTTGATAAAAGGAAAGTCACAAATGATGAAGCTATGCAGAAGGTTAGGATTACTTTTATATTAACATTCTGAAATGCTTTGATGTACCAATGCACTGTTGCAGGGAACAGAGGCTTACCTGTGTTTGATTTAAATTCTAACAGATAATATGAGAAGAAATGTTCAATTGACTTACACTGATATTGTTTGAAATATGGGCTGTCATGTTGTCATTTCTGTCACACTCGAGAAGAATACAGGGCTTCCACAAATTGCTGCCAACAGACACTTTTTGTTGCCAAAATTCTGTTTCAAGGTCTGCTTGGTGTTTCTCTGCTTCTACTCCCTGGAGGATTCCAGTCCAGTGCATCTCTTTGTTCTGTTCTTTTCCACGTCACGCCATGTCCAATCCATTTCCTTCTCTCAGTTTCACTACAATTTCTTCCAGTCCTCTTTTGATCCAGAGCTCTTGCAGATCACTTCTGGATATTTTATGTTTAAAATTCATTTTAAGTCGACATTTATAAATGTTTGTGATTCACAGTCAGTAGTTTGACCTTTGTTTCGTGTTTTTATAGCTGTATAAAAGTACAGATATAACATTACAATTACAATGTACTATGTTAAATAGCATTGCAAAATGTCAGTAAAATAAATTATGTATTCACCTTGTAGAGAAGAAAGAATAGATATGAGCTTCTTGGCCGATGGTGCCGAGTGGAATCTGGAATGAGGTTCTGCATCTTAGAATTTGGCTCCAGGTTTCTGTGAACACAATTATGCAACAAGTTTGCATTTATTCTTTCTTATGTCAGTAACTACACAGCATTCTTATCAGTACTTACGTTACATGAAGAAACCTTAACAGAATTATTAATTACTCTTCTGACAACTTCATCTGTTTTGATTAAACTAAACCACATTTATTAGTTTTGAATTGATTCAGTGTCATACTCATATCTTACCAGTACAGATTAGTATAATAAAATTATATGTAAAGCAAATCTCGATGTAGTACCTTCAGGCGAATAATTCTGTTCAGGCCCTAGAAGCAGAGGCAGTGTATAAGGCAAGTGTGATGGAGGCCAATGAATTCCACACGCACATGCAGAAGATGAAGTCGGTAATTCTGCAGCGCGTACGTGAGTTGATTTTGCAGAGTGATTGCATCATTAAGACTGTTACAGTCACTTACTTCCAGCTACAGCATGCGCTGAGCACACCTCTTGCCACACAGGTAAGTCTGGATGTGAAGAAAGGAACGTGCATTTCATAAAGCCCTGATCACTGATCATAACTCTGATTCACTTTAAATATTGGTCTGTAAAATGTATTGTAATCAAATAGTCATCATCAGTTGGTACACTCATTGTATGATAATTTCACTTCTAAACTTTCAATACATTTTAAGCATAAATGTTGGAAAGTATTTGTATTAGGCTACTGTTTTCTGTGGGCCCTTTATTAGCATTATGGGGCCTGAAAGTGTTTTCCAATTTTTTTTTCATATGCTGCAGTTCCTTACAATAATTCTTTTACCAATTCAGTAAATTCCAGCTCATTTCCAGTATCTAATATTTGCCATAATTGACTTATAAGAATAGAGACGTACACATTTTCGTGATCAACAAAAGCGAAATGAGTTAAAATTATAAAGTTTTGAAAACTGAATGATAATGCATCTTTTCTTGGACAGATTACTAAGAGCATTGTGGATAATAATCTGTCATGCAGTTTCAGACTTTGTGTGAGAGCAGTCAGCTTTATGATCCAGGGACGCAGTACGCGGAATTTGTCAAAAGACTGCCAACTGCTTTGGTGTCTCTTAAAGATCCTGCTCAGTTGCCTTTCAGTTTTCAACCCTACTCTAAAGGAATCAATAAACTCCTGGATCAGGAAAGAAAGTCAACCGATTCTGTTGAAAGTGATGACTTGTTTCAAGGTAAGTTAATTTAAAAGTAAAAAAATATTTGGACCAGTGTAAGATGGTGATGAAGACAGCGTGTATCTCCGAAACATCAGCAAATTCCTACTGTTCTACAAACTAGAAAACAGCTGTCTTCTAATACGACATATTTTGCAGCGAAGTGATTTTGCGTACTTCTTATGGCATTCATGTTGGTGGTTTATCACAATGGTAATTACACACCCATAACGAGTTTAAGTTTTTTATCTATACATGGACAAATTAATATTTGACTCTGTTTTTGCAGGAAAAGGGAAGTTTAATGCAAAATGTATGGCTGGTAGTGACACCGACAGTATCGCCAGCAGTCAGAGCAATAAGAGCCATGAGCCGTCACCCACATCCAACCGCAAGCTCATCGGAATGTCCTCGTGTGACGAACTTAACGCCAATGATAATGGCAAGTATTAAGATTGAATATTCATCAGCTACGTAGTTGACTTTTCTTTCTTTATTCAAGTAATACTGTGTTACAGTTCTCGTATATTGCGCTAATTAACGGAGCCAATGCGTCCACTGCTGTTAGAACTCATTTATGACTAACAAAACATCCTAGTATGTCTACTGTGAGGTGAGTCGAATCTTCGCTATCACAACTCTGTTTTGTAAGATTGATTTTAAAACTATGACAGCAATTATAACTGCATAAGAAACATGTGCTTACACTTTTTTGGGCAAATTGGGTTTGCTTAGAACAATTTGTTTTTGCAGATGCCAGTTATCTTGGGCAGAAGAGCTGCATGTCCAAAGCAGCAGAAACGCACGCTTTTCGTAAACTTAAGACTCCATCCCGGTGCCGAGAATGTGATTCATATGTGTACTTCCAGGGATGTGACTGTACTGAGGTGAGAAGGATGAAGGTGGTTGTGATTTTTACGTTGGTTAGCGTACCGATTTAATATTTTTCATTATACACAATAGGATTATAAACATTAAAATGCATCAGTCTCTTTGACTCCAAGAGTTACGCTGGTGGTAGCATAGCTACTGGTAGGGTCTCCCTAGCAAGATTGGTCGAGGGGGAGAGGTCAGACTAAGACAGGTACCCTGGTCCTCCAGGTTGGCGTTTGGTCGCAAGGCTAACAACCTTGCACCGTAAAGAGGAAGATGTTTCGAAACCTCTATCAAAGCTTCGGACAGACGGACCTAACGGAGGACCGAATGGAAGAGGAGAATTGAGGAGGCCATGGACCGAATACGGACCAGAAAGCCATAGAAGAAGAAGAAGAAGTCTCTTTTATTTACATCAACCCAACATGATTCCACCCTTTAAAGGGCAATCGTCAGGGGTTTCTGTGTTAGAATTTTAGCGTAATGACTGAGGTTAATACCTTGGATGTTACTAGTTTCACTTTGAGAACACTTACATTGTCATTGCTCTACAGCAATTCATGAGGAACAAAAAAGAGGCTTTTACTGCCACTTTGAATGTGCCAGTATCTTTCTAATTATGATTGGTTTGCAGTGTGGATTAGCTTGCCACAAGAAGTGTCTTGAAACTTTGGCCATCCAGTGCGGGCACAAGCGTCTCCCACGGAGGATGACAACTTTCGGAGTGGATCTAGGTCAACATCTGACTGAAACGGCTACTCTCGTGCCACACATTGTCTGCAAGTGCATTGATGAAATAGACTCTCGTGGTAGGCTAATTAAGGTAAGAAATTAAAGTCCGGTTCCTCGTGTATTTCTCGTCTTTCTTCTGTTATTGTTTCTTTTAAAGTTTTGTTTTAAGTCCCACGTGTTATATTCAAGTATTTGAGATTTATTTTTAGACTGGCTTCTGCCTAACTGTTAGTTTATTGCGTTAGCGTAACACTAATCTGTTAACCCCGGAGTTAAATCCCCAGTTACGATATGGTAAAAATTAATGCTGTGATTAAAGTTTTTTAAGTTCGGTGTTAGGTATCTTAAGTAGTATTAAATATGAACTGAGCAAATTGACACTGTAGATAATCAAATCTTCCAATTACAGGGTATCTATAGAGTATCCGGTGTCAAATCTAAGGTAGAGAAATTGTGCCAGGCTTTTGAAAATGGCGCGGACCTGGTAGACTTGACTGATATCCACCCTAATGTCATCGCGAATGTACTGAAACTGTATCTGCGGCAGTTACCAGAACCCCTTCTTACATTCTGCCTCTACGCAGAATTTGTGAGGTAAGATAAAGCAAAGCACAGAAGTCATGTTATTTTCCTTTTATTCCTGCATAATTATACAACTAAGAGGAGAAAGCTCAAAAGTCCAGAACTGCTTCAAATTTAAAGCACGTATCGTTATTACGTTAAACCTTAATTTCACACTAGGGTTACATTCCTTGAATGCTGTTTATTAACTAAGAGAATATAATGGGCTTATTCCACAGAAATAAATACTTCTTGCTGTTGTGTTTCTTTACATGTTGGGGTGAAATGTGAGTTTTTAAATTTAAATTTTCTTAAGCTTGTGTGAAGAAGCATGCTACAGCTGTGTTTAAGGAGTCACAGTGATGCCACACTGAAAATGGCAGGTTTTTATGTGTAGGCAGACGAGTACATACACATTATATAAGTTAAACGTTGGTAACAGGTACAGAAGTAGAACACAATTGCTATTGTTTTATGTTTTTCAGGATAGCAAAAGAGTGTCCTTCTGATTCGTCGGCAGAAGTAGGCGTGGCAACACAGGAACTGAAGGAGTTGGTACGTAAGCTGCCGCGCCACCATCACCTGACGCTGGCGATGCTCATGCAGCATTTGGAGAGGGTAGCGCGTGATGCCGACGTTAACAACATGCCTCCAAGTAACTTGGGCATTGTGTTTGGACCCACTCTGTTGCGCACAGCTGAGGGCAGCGCGTCGCTAAACTCCTTAGTAGATACCGTACACCAAACTCGAGCCATAGAACTGATGATCGCAAATGCACAGGATATCTTTGGACCTCAAGATATTGCTAGTGCCCAAGAATATGCCTGCGCCAAAATGGGTTTCGGCCTTACGCACTCCGCAAGAAAGAAACTTGAACCGGCTGATTCACTAGAAGGAAGCCGTGATGCAGGTATTATGACGGCAGGACACCAGTAAAATTCTTGATGATCCCAAATTCTGGGCAACAGTTTAATTTCTTTTCTTTGTTCTTAAACTGGGAAAGGCAATTTGATAACTAATCAGAGAGTAAGGAGGCACCATAATCCAAAAGATTAAAATTGACGTCTTCATTATGAACAGTCTAATAGCACATGCTTCATGTTGTAAATAAAAGTTATTGGTGTAGTCGCAGTACGTCTCTCACCTCCCAGGTCTGCGTTATTATATAGTAATTTTAGTATTACCTCAACGTCACACTTTATGTAAATAGGTTCGTATGCAGGAAAACTGTAAACTAACTAACTCCCTGTAGCAGAACCCACAGGTCCAACACCGACAACACCAAAGCCCAGCACCGGACACGATCCTGAGCCAACTCCATCCATTAATAAAATATTAAGTAATATAGAAATGAGAATTCTATTCAAAGTCAGCGCTAGAATAATATTAGGCTCGGCGTTATTTAATTCATTTAATTTCCTTCTAATTATTCTGTGCATTTAATTTATAGGAGAGGAAGTAGCTTCTGAAGACGAACTACATTACTTCTTACTTTCTGATGATTTAACGGGCGGCAAGCACGTCTCTCATGAAGCCATGCCAAAAGTATTTGAAGGATCCCTAAAGGATTATCAAGGACTTGAAGGGGTAAGGGACTTTCATTTATTCACAATTTATTGGCTTGAATCTCAATCACAGATTCATTGACTGCGGCTTCAAGACTCAAAGTACAGTTACGTTCACAAGAATTATACATCAGTAGGGATGGAAAGTATTGTACAGTTTATTGTAATTCTGAGAGATCTGAATATTCTTACATTGCAGACAGTTTTCTGTTTAGACAGTAATCACTTATTGATAAAAAATATTACTCTGTACCTACCCCATATTTTTGTGACACAGATGACTTCTTCTTTCTCATCTCCCTTTTTGCCTTTGTAGAGTCGGGGTTGATTGCTCGGTCCATCTCCTCCATTCCGTGGAATCTTTGTTTCTCTGAATTGTATTAAAAACCAAGTGCGAGTGATTGGCCCAACGACTGGTTGCCAGGTTTGGAGGGGCTGCCTCCTGAGCCACCTGGCTGGCCGTCCTCTGCGTCGAGGCTGAGGTCGGTCATTTCCTACCACCTCTGTAGTTCTGGTTTTCCCGCTAGTACTCGGGTGGCTGATTGCAGTGACATCCCGCTGGGCGATGGGGTGGCTACATCCCTACGCCAACCACAGATGACAAATCATAATTTTTTTTTCTCTATTATTTTGTAGTTGTGCTTATTTTAATTTTTCCTGTAGTCGCTGGCTGTGGTAATTTTACAGACTTCTCCTGTTGCTTATTTTTAGCTTTCCTTGTCGTCAAATCAAGGAGCGGCCAGCGCCAGTGCTGAAACAATCGAAAAGCCTAGGAAAAGTGCTTCGGTAGAAGTGGAAGAGAAGGTCTCCGAGAGAAGGCGGCAGTACTACAAGACAGACGGAGATGAGTGGACTGCTCACAAGTCCGTGCAGCTCAGCTCCCAGCGGACGGAGAGTTCTGCCGACTCTGACTACAGCTTCGAGTCCCACGCCAGCAGTTCTGTAGAGAGTCGGAGTCCCCGCGAACTTGAGGAGGGATGTGAAGTATTTTTAGAACTGCCCCAGTGGTGCAAAAGAAATCCCAGCTCAGCAACAGGTCATGCAGAGACGCAGGATTCTCCAATCTCTTCGATTAGCCACTCGCCAGATGACGCGGAGGCCGGAGCCGAGGCCCTGTCCACAACGTGCGCCATCAGTTCTACTTCAAAGCACATCACTGGTACGAGCTTACTCTAAAATGGCTGTGAACTTTTATGAAAGCCGTCGAGGTCAGTCGATGTACAGAGAAATGGAGTCGCAGGAACGAGGATAAAATTGCGTAATGAGCAGCTCCATAATTTTTACCTTTTTGCCAGATGTTAAGATTGTCAGATCCAGGAAGATGAAGTAGGAAAGGGAATGTAACTTTCTTGGGGAATATTGGAAATGTGCGCAAATCTGTTGTCAGACGTCGTGGAGGGAAGATGACTTGGAAGTTCCAGGCACGTTTATGTCAGAGTTAGCGTATAAATGTGGAACGCTTAAATTGTCAGCTGAAGAAATTTCAGTTCCCATAATTGGACAGTGGGTCCGAAGTAGCCGTACGCACAAATATTGTTTTTTCCTAAATTTGATGTACATTTTTGTTGACTCAACTGTTAACTTTGTAACGCTAAGATGTTCGCGAGTCCGCTACTTCTACAAAATAGACAAATGTTCTGTCGTTTCTTCTATAACTAAAATAAAATCAATTCTTTGTCTTTTTTTCTTAATTAAGTATAATTTTTGCTTACGCTCTCTAATCAGAAGAAGTTCCTTATCTGTTGAGGAGGGGGAGGATTCTGCGAATGGGTACGTGTCCCACTCATGGAAACATTTTCTTTCTTTATGCATCAGGAGATTATTCCACGTACATTCCAACGCCAGTTCCCAGTGTGGAGATGCAACACGACGAGTCTACCTTCTTAAATTACGAAGAAACGCTGCTCTCGAAGAGAACTTGTTACCAGGCAGAAAAGATAACAATGAAATATCCAGGCCTCGAATTGGTTCCAGTGGACGAGAAAAAGAAGATGGTGTCTGCACAAGTGGGTGGGAGAGCGACCACCCCGTATTCACCCCTCGATACTTTAAAGTTTTCTAAAGCTTCCGCCGTGACGTCAACAACGAGATGTCCTCCCAAGACGGAGCCTGCGGCCGTAGGATGTGCGGAGAATGTTATTAAGCCAGGTAATGACTTTTCTGTGCCTTAATTCATTAATGAGATTCAAATTAAACAGAAGAGATGCAGTGATTGAAAAATAGTTTAGTGGTCCTCTGAAGTACTCGTAATTTGTCTTCTGAAATTCGTAACCTATTAATTTTCGTGTTAAGTAAAATTAGTATCAAATATTATTTTTAGTGTATGTACACAATAATTATTTGGTAATTGAAGAAATTAAATTAGATCGATGCTTGTTATATTTTCATTACAGTACAGGATTTTTTAAATGTTTTAGGAATCTAACTTTTTTCTAATAAAAATGAAGTTCTCCTTGTATCGTACTGAATTCTTCATATAAGCGCGTTCAGAGGTTGAACTTTGATCTATCTTGAACATTTCTGTCTTCTGGGTTGTTGCGCTGTGTAGTCTGGTCGATGTTAACCAACGTTTCAGAGGTCAGCGCAACAATCCAGAAGACAGAAATCTTCACACTCACTGTCGTGAAAACCTCAAATCTTACTTGATCTATCTTCTTACGAAATGAACTCTGTGTTGAGCCAAAATGAATGTGGCGGAAGTTTGTGGAATGTCTTTTAATTTTCCTCTTAACGTAACAAAGCGCACTTCTTTCTGCGGCAGAGAATGGGACGTTATGAGGTGTCGGTGGAGCGATACATTGTCATTCAGAAATTCTTTTTCAAATTATCCACGAGCTGCATAAAAATTGTTGGTCGATTTGGATGAACAGTTCTAAAGTCTTTTTTGTGGGTTATTTATTAAGAGTGATTAGTGTTCATTAATGTGTGTATTGGGAAACGAACTTGCGCAGGGAAAAAAGTATCAGGTATCAGCCAAAACTTGGAGAACTGATTACATTTTGAGTTTTAAACATACAAGAAGAGGTCCTCATTACGCTCACTCTTGTGCCACGCGATAATTTTCTGATATCGGAGCATTTTGCTACTCGTCTTGCAAGTTCTTTACAGGACACTCAATTAGAGTTCTGTTAATATAATTACTATTAACATTAATTGCATTTATATTTTAATTTATGTTTGATATAATAAATGAAAACTGAATACAATTAAATATTAAGTGTTTAATTTTAGGTAATATTTTCCTATGTTACGTTGTAGAATTCTGTTATGTGTGTGTGTTATGACTGGTTTTACTCAGGCACTTTTTCAGTCAGTGTGGTTTCGCCATTGTAGTGCCGAGTTATCTTTGAACAGCTTTTTTAATTTTTAACAGTAATTGTCGGGTTCATCTAAATCTCTGCTATGACTACGCATTTGCGCTGGTAAGATTATAATTTTCGTCCTTGTCGAACCTGAAATCACACTTAACTGCATTTGTACTATACGTTTGAAGACATGCTACATGTCTCTGTCTGGGGAAAGGCTGTTTTGTCTCATTTCTTACAGCTCTGACACCATTATCTGCCAGTACACCGATATAGCCTAATCCTGGCGAGGAGATATTTCATATGGAACAAGTATACGTGAACTCACGCAGTACCTGCTTTAAACAGAATGCAGCAGCCCCTTCGTGGGGGCTCCCGAGTCTCTAAGCCCGATTTTTATCGCAATAATTAGGATTCTTGTTTATCTGTGGCCATATTTCACTTCGTTACATTTTGGGAATTATACGTACGACAGAGTCTCTCATCTCTCTCTCTCTAGAATTGGACTGGTTCTTAGATTCGTGTGTAAAAAGAGAACGTAATTTCCTACTGAACAAAATTCTAGTAATATGTCGTGTTTTGTTTTTTATGTTGGTCTAAACGTAAGCTCCGTTAATGTTTTGAAGATGTAGCTCGTCTAAATAGTATTTAAATTGCGGTTCGTACCTCAAAGAAAACACAACTCGCCTCCATTACGAAGATCACTAGGAAAATAATCGTCGTATATTTTCAGAAGCATAAGAAACTTGTAAATGATTTCTGTGGGCAGTTATTGATTGTCAAAGCATAGTTACCAGTGAGCTTAAAACTGTAAATTTTTTTGTTTGTATATCGAGGGAACGAATTACAAAAAAAACAAAAGAAGAATTTAGAACGCATCAGACGAATACGACATTTGCGTACTCTGCTGTACGTTTTGTGCAGGCACGCTCTAATTAATTTAACAAGTTTTATGACCACAAATTCAATTAAACAGTTGTACAGTACACTTACTTCTCCTCTGATGGAAATTCAACCGAATTTTAATCTAATCGCATTTTGGTTTGTTTCTGTGGTCAACGAAAACACAAAGCGTTTTATTCATACGCGCGTAAGAATCACCAAAAAAATCTCTCGGGGTCACTTCGGCTGGGTACGTAATTATTTTCGGAAAGAAAAATTGTATTTCCCGAAAAACTGTAATTACTTTTCCATAAAAATAACTTCGAGTTGGTTTGCTAATGTGTCACAGATTTTGAGGCTTGTAATTCCTTAGGTTATATATATATATATATATATTGTGTGTGGAGAGAGAGAGAGAGAGTAGCTCTTAGTGAGTCACATCCAAGTGACCATGTTTCTTTTTCAGACTTACGTCCACAGATTTCCTTCTTGGAGTCTCTCATTCGACACTGCATAATCTTAGCAGCTGATAGCGTAGCCTCATTAGAAAACATTGTGTTCGGGTGGAATAATCCGGCGTTTGTAATGTCTTGCTGGGTGGCTTCATCCGGTCCCATTTGACAAGCTCTGCCCTCCAACATTCCCCTAAGCGAACTTCTCAACCCCGTCGTGTTCCTTTCCTACCTTTCGTGACAGTTGACAAAACACTGGCGAGCAGCGAGTGATGCCTTGAACCAACGGGCAGACTAAAGTCTGTCCAGATAATCTAGAACCCTCTGTCAGACTCACGAATTCTTAACCTTGGAAATAGAAAGATTATGGTAGTATTTAGCCTCACGCTCCGGCCACTTTATCCCCGGGGGATAAAACCAGGAAACAGACTGTTTTTAGCGGGCTGTGTGTGTCCCCAGATTCGCTCTGGACGTTGTTTCAAAGATAAAATCCTGGTCTGCAGGGAATCGAACCCAGGTCGTACGTCACAAAATTCACTGAAGTTTTCAATTTCTGGAAACTTAGTGTGAAATTGTAAGAAAAATTGGTCGACCTAGTACGATAAGTTTTTATATTCTTCTTACTTTCACTAGTTAGGGGACTTGAAGCCTGTACCGGTCTCAAAATCCATTTCAAGCGCATACTTTTCATTCAACTCTCTCAAAATCTTTGGTTTGGTGTTTCTATTGTGAAACTTTGACGTTGTATATGCTCTGCCCTACCTTATGTTTTGTTTTCCGGGGTTTATCTGTCGTCTACGTGAAATTAAAATTGCAAAGTCTCGGTTACTTCCTCTTTCTCCGAAACGTCGGCACTTACCAACGCCTAAACCCATAAGAATATCTTCAGCCCTGGCAGTGATTTTGGGACACCCTGTAACTCGCAGGGCAACAGCTTGAGAGTCGGCACTTGGCTTGGTTAGGGAGAATGAGTGAAATGACAAAACACCGGGTTATCCATATTCATAGAAATTCTGAGCTGCATTTCCACCGCGCGAGGCGACGTCTATATTATGACTCTTATCATGCGTGCGAAGTTTCGTAACTAAGTTAGGTAAATGCCGAGTTTAAGGAGAATTGTGTCTTGGAAGACACGTAACCATCAGGAGAACTAAGCAGCTGTTCCTTAGTACCGGATATTTCTTCACCAGAGATTCCCCAACAGGCGCATGAGTTGAAAGACAATCCCGAAATGATTTAAAATCGAAAATCAAACATTCTAAAATATCACAGTGACGGCATTGGACGTATTTAAACAGTGGGACTGCTGATTCGAATTCCGATCAGGGCACGTAACTTTGACTACAAACAGTCCAAGCGAATGCCAACGGGATTAAAAAAATTTAAGCTGAGAGGCATTTTAATTCCCTTGAAATGGGTGAAACATGAATCTAGAGATGTTTTCGTTAGTATCGCGACTTAGCCAGTACAGAGAGCTGATCCCCGCCCACTGTGACCGCCTGACGTGGAACTTGCCTGACATTGGATTACGCAATTGCTTAATCGCTTTCTGAAAAAGTTGGTCTTGAACGTCGGAATAGTTCATTTTATATGCGGAGGCTGTACAAATATTTGTTCTACCATCCACACATGTAAAGCTCGAAGGCCCATTACAATGGTAGGCTATATTCGACTTCACCAGTGTCTTCGGGACGTCAGCCCCGAGACCGGTTACCCTCACCCTCTGACCGAAGTTTCAGTAGTTAACTCATCGCCCTGATGATGGAGCAAAGAAGCACCTCTGAAACGTCGGTAGACTTCTACCAGGCTACACGGTACAAGAACCCAGAAGATGTCCACAACGCATTCCAATATACACGTCTCTCTGAGATGTCAGAATCTACCTAAGAGTCCACACGGCGTTACAGCCCGGAAGGAAACGTCATCTTCACCTCCGTGACAAGGGAAATGGTCCAGTGTCGTCCCGGAGACCTTCCGCCATTTATCTTACCAACGCCCTCCGAAGTAATTATCTCTGGCTTTGTGGGCTCTAGATCCTTGCATTTCCTCGGTGTGAAACTGGTTTTATGATAACAGTACATTATAATACGCGTTTTATCAGATGGTTTATTCATACTCTGCGTAAGTGTTTGCAGCGTAACTAATTTGTATATTAGTTTTCTTTTATGGATTGCTCAATGCAAATTTACTTTTGGTAGCCATGCGAAACATGGTCTCTCACTCAGAGGGAGGAACACAGATTGCAGGTGTTTGAGAATCGGGTGTTGAGGAGGATATTTCGGCCTAAGAGGGAAGACGATGGGGCGTGGAGAAAACTGCACAATGACGAGCTTAAAAATCTGTACTGCTCCCCCAGTATTGTGAGGGTGATTAAGTCGAGAAGAGTGAGATGGGCGGGACATGTAGCGCGCATGGATGGGACAAGAGGTGTGCACCGGGTACTGGTTGGGAAACCTGAAGGGAAGAGACCTCTGGGGAGACCTAGACGTAGATGGGAGGATAATCTCAGGCGGGATCTATGGGAGATAGGAGTTGAAGGAGACTGGATTTTGTTGGCCCAGGACAGGGTCCGGTGGAGGACTTTGGTTAATTCGGTGATGAACCTTCGGGTTCGGTAAGCCATCTAGTTAGTTAGTTAGCCATGAAATACTGTGAATTCGGAATAAATGTTGGACCACTTCCCATTGAACTTCTCAAGGGCTTCCTAGTATCGATATCACGCAGAGTCGAGAGAGATTTCGACTGTGAATGGAGGGGCTGAGTAGGGAGAAGGCTTTTGTGGCTTATTTTAAGATGCGTGTTTGGGTTTCATGTGATTCTCCGTGTGACAAGCAATTATTTGCTTGAGCAGGGTTGGCTAATAATTAATAAATTTTGTGTCTTCTCTGTGGTACGGACTAAATTCTTAGATATTATTCACACGAGCTTTGGCTTCAAAGGGTTTCATAAATAATGAATTGGTTGGATTTGGAACGAAGTTACCGTGGCTGTATTTAAAGTACTTCTCCTTTATTCGCCTGGAGTGACCGAGGAAAAACCACCAAAAACCTCAATCACGATAATCAGTCTCCAGGTCGAGATTTGAACCAAGGCTTCCCGAATAAAAAAGGAGTCCTAACTAGTGACTTTCGGTGCAACTGTGTCGTTTGCGACTTTTTCATTTATACATACGTCGTGAGGCTTAGTAACAGCGCAAAGTAGGTCTATGTATCGATATCAGATTCTTTTCTACGATATCATTTCATGTCTGCTTCAACTGGCATCTCTCCTCACGTGCACTGCGGCTAAGACAATGTTTGTTGGTGTAATATCGGCCATACCGGATGAACTTTGGCTGATGAAATGCCAATTGTTTCTAAAGTCTGGTTTCTCTCAAATTTGTTGTTAAGTTCGCAAATACTATGCGACAGCGATAATAGAACGACCCTGAATTGTGAATAAGTGTGTATCAGCACTCAATGATCTGTTTTACGCGTAGAAACCTGGATAAAACCTAATCGGTTTTGGTATCGAACTAAGAATTCTTGGAATACAAAGCGGGACTAAGCAAGTAGTCGATATCGCTAGGCGCAGTGCAAGTTTGAAATCCTAATGGTTCCCTTTCAAACAGATTCCGTTATTAGGGGGAAAGTGCTTACTTATGTACGAGCATCTGGCGAGTTGGTTTATTAGGACTGCAGACGACATCGTGAACCCCCGTATTGATTGAGGTAGGCCCTTAGGCTGAACATTACCTCATGTTGTACGTACCTGATTCATAGTAAAATGGAGGGGCAGGGATCCACTTCTCGTCCTCACTCGATGCATTAAGTAAAAGTTAACGTGAAAAATCAACACAATAATAAACCAGGAAAATTATTACGTGAAATTTGAAATTTTAACGACAGTGAGGGTGGTGATGTTCTGGGTTTTGGCGCCGTGTAGACTCGTCGGAAGGTCGAAATTGACAGACGTTTCAGAAACACTTCGCCCGTATGATGGAGGTACTAAACACCTCTGCAATATCGGTCAGTTTCTAGAGGACCGGACGTTGTAACATTCTAGAAGTAAGTCGTCTTGTCTTTAAAGAAGATCGAGGCAAGTTTAATCGTTGCTTGTAATCAAAGTTTGATTGTGTAAACAAACCTAGAGATGGCATTGACGTGGTACTGTTCATGCCTAAGGCTTTGGTAGGGAGTAAGAGATTTAAGATGAGAAAATATAGAAAATTATATAGGCCTGTTTTGCATGTATGGTCACAAATTGTCTCCTCCACACCATATTAAAAATTCTTCGCCAGCTGGAGACCTTATCACCGATCATCCTTCTGAGACACAAATTGCAATCTTATCCCTTCGCCCCTCGTTTCTCCAATAAATTTAGCTCGAAATTTGCAACCCTCATCTCCCACTGCCACTCGACAGCCCCGTATAGAGCACCTTAATCGCATGCTTAGAGGAAGTGGCTGGTGGGACAGAAACACGTGTCGGTAGGGCCGGATCCTGGCGACTTCCAGTCAGTGAGGGAGCTCGCCTTATGTTCCGGGTTATTGTTCCGGGTTTTGACGCCGTGTGGACTGTCGGTAGATGCCAAAACCCAGAACAATAACATTATCACTGGGCACCATAATTCTTTCAGCATGACACTCGAGATTTCCTTCCATACTTTCTTAAAAGCTCCACAGAACGAGGTCTTCAAATACCTTACAAAATATTAGTATTGTTATTATAATAGTAAAAGCTTTTGAATGAATGAAATTTACTACGTGTAGTGGGTAGACTGCAGGAACATATCTCACGACCCCTATAAACCCCCCCCCCTGCATCTAATCCATGAATAATCTCAGTGAAGCTCCAGAGAATTGTCAGAAATCTCAAGAGGGTTCCTGCATGATTCAGCATGTAACACCATCACATACGTCCCTCTTTCGTGCCATATTTTTACCAAAACATATTCTAGATGGCGTGTTACTTGTTAAGCATTGTTCCGAATCTGTCGGTGAGTCAGGAACACCACCAGTTCACTATAATAGAACGCTCGGCTCTCAGCGAGAAATGGTTCTTCTGCAATTGACGTGTTCGCTTGTTTCCTTATTCCAAACTCCGGAATACAAATCAGACACAATACCACTGTAGCAGGGTTGTTAACGCCAGTTACTTTGAACGCTGTGCACTGATGTTGCCGGCTTCTTCGTTAGGTCAACACGATAAAACATTATCTTATCTTACTAAGCTTATCAACTCTGTTACTCACTCTACTGTTCTCAGCAATTTAAGTTAGCAATTAAAATTGAGAACCAGCCTTAATGTTCGTTATAATTACTACAAAAGTCGATAAACACACTTATCTGAGCAGAAAACGTGTCTAATAGTTTAAATATGATCCACCATCCACTTCGTGGTTTTACGTAAATCCTCTTTTTGTGAGGCGTCGATACAAATTACGATAATCCTAGTTTTCTTATCCCTGTCTCATACCCAGGCCATTTAGAAGTTCCATGTACGAAATAGTGCCTTGGAATCGGCCACTGCCGTATTCTTCTCAATTCTAATCCCACCTTTCACTTGTCGCTGTGTAACGTCTGCGGTTGATACATCATCATTATATGAGCAAATTACCTGTCTGTCTGTCAGTTATAATGATATGCCGTCCTCCGTCGCCTCAAAGATTATGTCCATCCGTCTTTAGTAACCGCTACATTTTTTTTCCGGCCCTAACCAATCACTTCCGGAGTCTCGCGTGGCATTTAACGTAACTGTAGCTCATACGTTCGTACATGCGAAAAACACAGCCCAGGGAACAATTAAATTGCTAACTCTACGTTGCACCAACAACGATATTCTGTGATACATTGTTTAGAAAACACAGGATACCAACTACGTTTGGTGATGTTCTTGTGCAGATACTGGCAACACTGTTGAGCTGGAACATTGGCCTGTTGGATCACGTGACTGCATATTTAAATTTATGTATCGAACAGTATTTGGGATTCCCTTTTTTTGGCCAGATAAATTTGCTCAGAATTTAAGAAAGATTACTGTAAGAACCAACTTTTTGACGTAAATACGTCTATATTTTAGGGTCAGTGTCATTCCGCAAAAAACTGTTACGAAAAAGTGTAAGATGGTTACCTAGGAGACGCCATCTGTTTACTCGGCATTGTTGTTACCTATAAAACATTACATTACTTTACATTACATTCAGCTACCACAGACCCATCTTAAGCGTAACTAATTCAAGTTAAATAAGGAAAGTCTTAATCAAAATTATCTCAATTGTAAAGGATTTATAAAGGAAATATTTAGAATAAAGCCAATATATAAACTTCCTTTCCGTATAGACGTATTTACGTCTAATTCTCCGGAACCATAGTTCCACTGTCAACTTTTTTGGAAAATAATTGGTGTATTAATTAGACTCTGTCTTCGAACACGACCCAGAAACGTAAGTTCAGTGTTTGCTACGCATCCAATTAATGTTAGTTCAATTGTTATTCGCTGTATCTTTGTCAGCGACCATATGCAATGTGAGATTTGAGGTTCACACCGTGGGTTGTGACGTCGTGTTGATTCGTAGGTAAATACCGTCTCGAAGATGGAGGAGGTATGTTTTTCCCTAAACGTTGGTAACTACCTACGAGTCTACAGGACAATCCAGAAGAACAACATCGTAGACTACACGCAAGTTTTAACTTTATTATTTCTATTATTTATTTTAATCCGTCTGATCACAATATTTAAAATTTCTTATAATTAAGATAATAAAATATCATTCATGTTCCATATCGATTGATCGATTTACATTTCGGAACATTTACACAACATGTTTCGGTTTTTATAAAACCATCATCAGGTGTAAAATATATCTAAGAACTTAAAACTCAATTATGATTTCTGTAGTTTTTTTTTTTGGTGATGTTTCATTACGTTTGTTTTTCAATTTCTATTTAAACTGTCTGTTCTGTTAAAATAATATGTTGTAATTCTAGGAGCCTCTGAACCTTGTCATGGGCGTAGCTTAAGACCCCGTCTTTTCTGAGTTTACTGACTGCTTTTGAATGGACTGCCCGAGAAGACGGCGACGATCTGCAGTCAGAATAACGTACATCGAGGATCGAAGTCCCGAACGCGGTGTTTGCAGAAGCCCCCAGGCTCAGAAAAGAGGAAACAGACTTCAAGAAGCAAGACCGTGGAATTTCATTTCCTCCGAACAGTCGGCCCGCATATGCAGAATTTTATTTGCAGTTTTAAAAAAGTTTGAATTCTAACTGGATAATGTAGACGTGCGCCTGCGAGTCAGGGAATTCGTAATGATGCAAACAAACAAAGCTGATAGAGTAAAATGGGGAAGCGGGTGG